CTATATTTTTTTAATTCCGCACGGATGGAGTCGCGGGCAACAGCTAGTATTATATTAAAAAATATGATGTTCAAATTTATTTTAAAGGAGGTTCTCCTTTAGAACCATCAAGGTTTTTATTAAAAGATGTATAAAAATTAAAAAACAAATTTTTCGTCATTTTATTGAAATAATAAATTTAATGTAATGATAAAAATATAGGCTTATTTTTCCTTTTTTTATAACAGAAGGGAGTAAACGAGCAGCGGTAACACCGAGGTGTTCAACGACACCCATGGACATCAGCAATACCAGAGGAACCGCAGATGCGTTGCCGGCCTTTATGAAAATGGTTTGCTCGCTTCTTGATTTTGGTTTCTTGTTTCTTCATATATTTTTTTATAACAGAAGGGGGCAAACGAGCAGCGTGAACAACGAGGTGTTCAACGATACCCATGGACATCAGCAATACCAGAGGAACCGCAGATGCGTTGCCGGCTTTTATTCTTGTTTTATTCATAAGTATTATATATATATTTTCCTATCACGTATTTCGGTTTTTATGATCTTCCCACTAAAATACACGGAGTTAACAACTTCAGATTTATTGGGTCTTCCTCAATAAACTTCGCTTTAATTTTCCTCTTTTGTAATTGATTTATAGCAGTTTGTACGAGTAGAAGTTTTTTAGGCTGTTTTTGTCGTTTATTTCAAAGTCTAACAAGCTTTTAAGGTTTCAGAAGTTGATTATATATTATAGCTTGACATTTCGAAAAACATTGACTTTGTTTGGATATTATAATTACGTTAAAAAAGGATCTTGACAGACTGACGGACGGACAACAAAGTGATCTTATAAGGTTTTTTTTTCTTATGAGGTACGGAACCCTAAAAGGAAGCAAATGTTTAAAATGGCAAAATCTATCTTACTAAACTTACTAATATTATAAATGCGAATGTTTAGATGGATGGATGTTTGTTTGATTTCCGAAACTGCTCAACGGACCTTGATAAAATTTTGTACATATGTAGAACATAGTCCGGAAGGACACAAAGGATATTTATGCTTTTTTAAATACTGCGCGGTTGGAGTCACGGGCCACGGCTAGTATTGTAATAAAAATGAAACTCAACCATGTTACATTACTATTTTAATCTATCCCTTGCGGGAACTGATGTTTTTTTTATTTAAAATATAATTCAATATTCTTAATACTAGCACACTCAAATTCATTAAGCATTCTAAGAGTATGTTTAGTATTACACTAAGGTTGACATTAGTGTCCAGTTTTAATAACAAATTATTCAAGCTCTTTAATAACTTATTCACCGTATCAAACTGTAACTGTGTGTTGCGTGACACATTCATATAATGCTAAAGGAAGTGACTACGACGTGGTATATCAAATATAAATTGTACGAAACATTATCGTCTCGAATAGTTGGAAGTCACGCGACGCGACCAACGTATGTACATAGACACTTTTATTATATGGGTTTTTTCAGTAAATTTAAACATGTAAATCATACGATGACATGATTATTACTAGCTGCCGCCCGCGACTCGCGAATTAATAAAACTAAATAATTTTAGCCTATGCGTTCTTCTAGACTATGATCTACACCTATGCCTTTCAGCGAGATTCATTCAACCGTATCGGAGATATTTTCAAACCATCCATCCATCTAAACATTGGCATTTATAATATTAGTAAGATATAAGAGTAATCATCACCCTTAACTTCGGTGGGGACTTATAGTGAGCTGATAATGATAAGAGTAATAGATTCTTTGTCAGCTTTTAAATAGGCATAGATTAAAAAAATTAAAGACTACGGAATAAAGTGCCTATGTCTCATTAAAACTATTAATTATTTTGCTATTTGTTTAAATGTAATTCGTAGTTTTAACTTAAAAGCCTTTATTTACGAAACGACTACATAAAGATTGGTACTCCATTGTAAGGATGTGTTTGTATTCAGCGCGGCGCCCTCACCCCCTTCACCCCCAGCGCCCCCAGCGCCCCCAGCGCCCCCTGCCGTCAACGTCGGACACTTATTGCTCTCACTTACGTCACCTTATGAATAATGAACATGCTCAATACCGGCCTAAGCTCGTTAAGAAACAAATTAAGAACAGAAATAGACAGTAAAAGTTACGACCTTTTGAATTTTTAAATAGTTTTCGATTAATTCAAGGAACTTGTTTATAGTCTACGAATTTGCTAGTAAATTCTACGAAACTGTGGTGAATTTTTCACGGAACTGTTGGCCATCAACAATATTGTTTTTAGATTCTAAAATAATTTAAATTATTAACCCTTAAAGAATCTTGTCAGCGAAAATTATTTCGTATGTAAGAAAATCACATCATTCTCCATGACTTTGATTTTTCCACTGAACTTTTAAGTTCCACGGAACACTTCAATTCGCAATTCGCAATTGCGTCGTTTAAAATGTCAGAAATATACAAAATAGAATGATATTTTAACAAGCGCACAGTATGGCGTAATGGTTAAATAAAAGTAGCTCGCGTGTGGCGGCGGCTCGCTGGTGTGGCTCACGAATGTATAACTGCTGTTTTATTGTCGATTTAATTCACCACGTGCTCCACACTGTATGTATGTATGTAAAGATAGTTATTTGTAATGTACGGAAGTTGTATTTCATAGCCGACTAGCTGTCGCCCGCGACTCCAATCGCGCGGAATTAAAACACTTAATTAGTAGTAATTCTTCCAGACTATGATCTACATCTATGTCAATTTTTAACAAGATCCGGAGACCCGTTACGGAGATACATCTAAACATTCGCATTTATAATATTAGTAAGATTCTATTGCCCGCGACTCTTCTAATAATGGAAAAAGTATTTTTGAAATTCCAGTATTTTTTTTCGATTCGAGTAAAAATATATATGTTAATGAAATTATTGAAATTGCTTAACAATGACGTCTAAATTCCGGTGACGCCTCTCCTCTTTTGTGTATACGTCGTTTCCGAACCGAACACCGAACAGACTGACAAACACAGCACAATATGGTACTATAGCTTATTCCGTATACCTACTTCATTTTACAGTTCACGCTTATTTATCTTACAACCAACTTTCTCGTACAAAAACATAAAAATCACAATGTCAAAAATATTTTTTGCAAACTTACAACTCTCAGAGACATCAGTATTGATTAGTATAAGTAATTATAAAGACATAATAATATAAAATTGTTAACACAACACATTTAGCCGAACGTTTTAACTACAATTATAATTGGCAAACTCTCATTCGACTTGTACAAACAAACGCCGCGCAATAAATCTAACCTATAAATCTTTCCCGCGCTAATCGAATCATAGTTTATTACCAGATTATCACATTTCACGTGTCTTATTTCTAAATGCTAATAAAAGTCATGTGAAATTCACCTCCATACATTCCCTAAGATTTATTAACTATCTATCTATAGCCAGCAACTATGTATGTGTGAAATTAAAAAAAAACAGTAGCCACCTGCGTTCCAAATATCTTGATCCAGCCGTTCTAACGTTGGTAACAAACATCCAAAAAATCGCATTTATGATATTAGTAAGATTGCTATTTAATTGATAAAGCTGGTGTCCATGAGTCCGTCTGCGCAGAATTAAAAAAAAAACCTTTATAAGCCTACATGTTCTTCCAGACTATGTTCTACATCTATGTCAAATTTTATCAAGATCAGTTCAGCCGTTTCGGTGATACCTTGTAACAAACTGTATTTACACAATTATGTTGGAGCCTTGGCTCTTGAACCAGGCCTAAGACTTGTGTTTCAGGAGCCAATCCATTTCCCTTACCAATAATTCTACTTTACATTTAATGCCGAAAAAAAGTAATAATTTTGAACATAAATTGAATAACGAAATATAAAAGTCTTATAATTAAATTTTACCATTTAACATATTTAAAGTTAATTGATAACTAAGCGTATACTTAAATGTAGCTTTCATTAGTCATTTATTTTTACTGTTAGGAAGAAAATCCGAAAATGTGGCAGTGTATTGACGCAACACTAGCCTTACTAAAATGTCGACGTTTATGTCCCCTCACTATTCATTCTGACATTAGACTTTGTAACGAAAGCACGTCATTCGCGCCAAAGGATTCTAATTAATCTTATATATAAAATTCTCGTGTCACAATTTTCGTTCCCATACTCCTCCGAAACAGCTTGACCGATTCTCATGAAATTTTGTGGGCATATTGAGTAGCTCTGAGAATCGGCATACATCTATTTTTAATTCGGGCGGAGTCGGGGGCGACAGCTAGTAATGTCTAAAATTACGTACTGTTCAAGTAATCATTTAAATTTAAGTGTTAATTTTACATTCAGTACTTTTGTATACATAAACTTTGAATTTAATATATTAGCTAAATATTTAACATGAAAACTAAATGATCGTAAAACACGAATATTCATAAAGAATAGTTATCTAGATTTTATACGGCGATTAAATATTTACAACTAGTAACAATTACTTCGACACTTTTGTACGCGTGACTTGAATTAATTAAACAACAATTTAATATAGTACCTTATTGTACATACAAAATATTTAACCGTTTATGACATTTTAAAGATAGCGGTTACATAAAAGTTGCAAGTAATACAAACGTGCAAGTGGACACTTGAATTCCCAAAAATAGCGTAGTGATCGTTGCTCATATACATTTGATAGAGGAGAACACACAGAAAGAGGACATTTCTCATTCGTATGGATCCCTTTATCTGTCAAATTTTCCTTTCCGTCCGATTTCCGACATGAAAAGTAAAAATTTCACCGCAATAGTAGCACAGGTTCGATATCCTTGTTGGACTATACTCGTACAATACCTGGAGGATCTATGACACTTTTTCCGTATTGACAGGGGGCTACATTGAGCTATTATAATTTATCTTGACTTACCACCGGGTCAGATAACTTTACCGATCTATACCACGTTATTGTGTACACATAGTACTTGTAAGTTACCTTATATACGTACCTTCGATCAGCTTTCCCTGTGTAACGAAGCCACAGCGTTTGTCAGCAATTCCATCCGTTTCTGTCCATTAGCACCAAATCGGCAGTCGGGATTTAAGGTTAAATAATCACTAGTTTAAATTAAATTATTGCAGACCTTATGGATGGGATTAAAGCGGATCTAGGAATAATCGCCTAAAAACCTTGACTTGAAAAAATCCCACAAAAAATCTTGCGATTGAAACGTAGATCCACAATGGCCTTGAAACCTAAGGTTAGAATAGCTATTTTCCTTTAGGAATAGGACTAGGTTTATTGCTGATCACAAAGTCTAGAATTGGACTTTATAAACTTATTTAGGTGTAAATTAATTTTGTTAAGTTAAGGTCTAATTTATTATTGAACTATTCAGTTATGTTGTGTAGTTTGGTCCCCTGAAACAAAGAAAAAAAATTGTTAATTATAAACTTCAACAGCCTAATAGTTAGTACTTCCGTTCACGTGGTCGGTGGTTCCAATCCCGCCATTCGACTATTATCGTAAACCATATACTAGTACAAGCCTAGAGCTTAGTTGGAATGGTAAAAGAAATATTAGGAAATTTACAAAAAATCTGCTAATATTTTACCTTTTAAAAAAAATTGATAGACAAGATTTGGTAGTATATTTTGCACGCAGAATGACTTAGTATTAACCACAGATAACAACTGTTTTATGCGAACATTGAAGGATGATTTTTTCTTATGTTTAAAGTAAACACAAGGTTAGCACTTTTTATATTTCAGTGTTGCTGTTATTTATATCTGTTCATATCACTAAGAGAACACTCATATAAATAGTTCAATGAAATATTGTCTGTCATAGATAACGCGGAAGTGTTTTAAAATCATACATTTGATAATAACAAAAGAATGTGAGAACAAAGTATTTTTGTTAAAGCAAGAATGTTTTTATAGCGTAGAACATTTGTTGCTTGTTGCAGTTTTGTTATTATTTCACGTTCGCTTTTATTTCTCACAAACAATCGCCCACTCGTTTTCATCAAAACGATTCAGAGAACTAAAGTATTTTAATTTAATACACGAAACATCTGATCTTTGTTACCATACATTGCCGACACTTCTATACTAAATTATATCTACAGTAGCTTTAGTTCGCGGCTCCGTCTGCGTGGAAATAAAAAAAAATCGTATGCAGCTTAAATGTTCTACAAGACTATATTCTACATTTATTCCAAATCTCATCCAGATCCGTTGAGTCGTTCTGGATATACATTCTAACAAACATACATCCATCTAAACTTTCGCATTTATAATATTAATAAGATTGCACTCGTATTTCAAACTAGAGAGAGAGAGAGAGAGAGAGAGAACATGTCAACAGATAATCTTGACCACAATCTTAGTATTTTCTAAACCAAATAAATGTCTTTTAATTAATTATAAAGATGAATAAAAGGTATAAATTTCATTCTAAAACCAGGAGATTATAAAATCCCGCATTCAAAGGAGGTTACGAACCTTCACTAAACGGATAAGAACGATTTGTCCAACCGACATTCAAACGAAATCGTTCTGCCGATCATTCTAATTTAATGATGGTCGTTGATGAAATTATCAAATTAAAACTAAAGAAACGACTTCAAATTTTAATGCATGAAAAGCAAATTAAATATATTAGCTATGTAAACAATTGAAACACCTGATGCAACCTGCACATATCTGAGAAGTAATTCAAAGATATGTGTGAAGTCAACCAACCCGCACTTGGCCAGCGTGGTTGACTATGGCCTAATCACCCTCACCTTAGGGTAGGCACCGAGCCCCTCGGTGGGGACGTATAGTGAGCTGATGATGATGATGATGAAACAATTGCAAGATAGTACGCCTAATTTCTATAGTAGGTGAATCATGTAGACTGGTGAAGTGGGTCACCGATTTGTGATGGCGACGACCAGTCAGAAAAGACATTTAAAGTACATATAAAATAAAGAAAAAAACAAAATTGGGGATATGTCATAATGCTAGTTACCATACTCCTCCGAAACAGCTTGACCGATTTTTATAAAATTTTATATGCATATTTAATAGTTCTGAAAATCGTATACTATTTATTTTTTAATCCCGCTCGGAGTCACGGCGACAGCTACTAGAATATAAATGAACAAATTATAACCAACAACTATTTATTTCTTCCAAGTAGGGCTGGCGACAGACAAGCGGCCGACTGTAAAAATTAAACCAAAACCTTGTGCTAAACTAAGTAAGTAAACTAAGTAAGTGGGGTAATACAAGGAAGATGATGAGTTTTTACTTAATAATCTTTGTATGAGAGAGAGAGAGAGAGAGAATCTTTGTATGTATTCCTATCTCTAATATTTCAACGTTAGACTTCTTACTGCCGATTTGGAGCAGTAAAATAATTGAATTTAAATTCTCCAAGTACCATAGATTATGGTTTGGTTGACAGCTTAATAATTGTAGTAAAAATAATTTACATTATCTCTAACAAAAAAAACTTATCAAAGCTCAGTATAAAAGCCCCGAAAGGTTATTGAGGTCGTGAGAGGGCGCAGCTGTCGACCGTCCATTAGACCCTCTGATGCCTGATATTAAATATTTCCGAACCACAACATAATTACAACACTTAAACTCAACTTGAGTGTCGCTTTTATAATCAAAGTTATATACAAAAGCTCAAAGCTTTTCTAGGATGAAGAGCTTTAATGCAAAGTCCTGATTAAACCCATCGTTCTTTGTACCAATACATAATTTTTCATTTCGTTGTAAATCTATTAAGTAATGAAAGACTAAGCGAAACTTATGATAGCGCCATCTAACGAATTTTATTGTAAATAGATCAACTATGGACTTCACTTGTCACTTTAACACAGCTGGCTTTTAAAGATGTTCAGTGAGATCACACGTTGCGTCGACGTTTCCAAGAATGAGGGTTGCGACCTCTCTTCTTGAACATTTCTCGTGGGTTCTTTTTCTATTATATACGGTCCTTTATGGATGGCGTTATGCATTATGTTCAATGAAATATCGATGTTGAAAAAAAGATATAACATCTATTGTCAATGGTTGCGTAAATTCTGGCTCGTATCAGCTGAGTACAGTTAATTATAGTTTCGAGGCAATGATGTCAGTGTCAATGACTGACGCGGCACCCCCGCCCCCGTCAGTGCGCCCCCTCCCCCTACCCCGGCGTGCGGTGACCCACTTGCGACTAAATTAGCACTTATTTGGCGCGAGCAATTGTTTCACGCGATTCATTTCTTTGATATGTTATTGTGAAATTAGATATACGTTTGTGTGTTCTTATTGCATTTTATATTAACTGTTTTATTTAAAAAAAAATACTAAAACACTTTTTAATTTAAAACGTGTTTTAACACTTTTACCGCCGTTGATTGATTAAGTGTTAATGTGGTTATGTTTCCCCATAAATATGTATTACCATGTTACTTTTGATATAAGCACTTCATTACTTATTGGTCAAGATCGGTCGCAAATCTACGCATGATAATGTTTCATTAGCCATGATTGTTGTTCACGGTATAAAAGGGTTGACGTGTGTTTAAGCTAAAATGTATTTGAAAGAGTGTCTATATTTTTATTGTTAATTTAAATGCTTTTCATAAACTTTATTCAGTTTAATATGTGAGGGAAGAGAGAGTGAGAGTTAGTTTTCAAATAACTAAATGAAAACCAGGTTTATTTTATATATAAACTAGATGTCGCCCGCGACTCCGTCCGCGGGGAATTAAAAGTCAAAGTAGCCTATGTGTTCTTTCAGACTATGTTCGACATCTATGCCAAATTTCATCAAGATCTGTACAGACGTTCTAGAGATATCTTCAAACAAACATCCATCCATCTATCTATACATCCAAACATTCGCATTTATAACATTAGGAAGATATTCGTCCGCACAAACCTTTAAAAACATTAACGTAAGTTTAATAAAATAGATAAATCAGAGAAAAATGACAGTAAATTATTGTAATATTATTAAGTCGTACATAATTCATATGTTCACGTCGACAAGACCGATGACCTGGGAATTCTATGTCTGCATTTCTAACAAGAGGTCGACGAAACGTGAAAAAACTGTTTAGTCAGACTTACTATGTAAGGGTCAAAGTATCGCTTAGTTGTCGTAAAAGTATCAAGACTAGTTCGACTGTAGTATGAGGCAATATTTTCACATTGAAAATTTTAGTTTTTCAGTGTATTCTCCACAATATGCTTATAAGGCTACATCTTACTAATATTATAAATGCGAAAGTTTAGATGGCTGGATGTTTGTTAAAAGGTATCTCCAGAACAGCTGCATGGATCTCGTTAAAATTTGACATAGACAGAGAACTAAGTTTCTAAGCTACTAATTAAGTTTTTTTAGTTCCCCACGCATGAAGTCGGGGGCAACAGCTAGTATTACATACGCATGAATGTTATTGTGTTACTTTTCTATTGATCCTTATTTTTAGCGTTCCGTACCTCGAAAGGAAAAAAACCCTTATATCACTTCGTTGTCTATCCTGTCTGTCAAGAACCTTTTTATAATAAAAGCTTCGAAGTTGTGGGGCTCAAATTACTAGACTAACTAGAGCGACTAATATCTAGGTACGACGTATTCCATATTGTCAGTTACCAGTTACTTTAAATTGCCTGAAATAGATTTAAACTTCGCTACCAACCAATGCCATTCGTAATCCTAAAACACGCGATCGCGCAACACAAGCTATTTTAAACCCTATTCCAAAGTATTTAGACTTATTATTGAATGATTAATAACCAAGTCGTAAACTTGCTTTTGAAAATATACCAGCACGAGAGGCAGACTTCGATTAAAATAATTTATAAACCCAAGAAATATAAAGACATAAATCAGTTTTTAGCAATTGTATTTTTTGCAACTTTTAAAGTAGAAATTTCTTTACAAAGGTTAATAATTCATACATTTATATTGATAAATAGCTACTTACCACTAGTTAGGTTACTTTATATACTTATTAAGGAGCAAATAATTATGCATATTTTACATAACAAACATTAATTTCGGTAAAAAAACTTGAAACTGAATTTACAGGTCTTCCTGTTGCGAACTTTTTGAACATTTTTACGATTTCGTTTTGTCGAGAATTTTATTAAAAGTTTGAATAAAAGTTTCGAAACGTCTAACATGATTTTACAAATCGCAACCGGAAAGTTTGATTAAAATGATATGGTTTCTTGAGTCTAGACACGCATTTTCATTGTAACACAACAGACAAATTTAAACAAGCGAGGGACGCCCTTTAGTGTAGTTGGAGACTGGAGGTACGAAGTACTAAATGATTCAGGCAGTATGAACCTTGGAAACAAACAAGATGAAACATCCCAGTGTGGACGGACACTAATTTTCTCCGCATATTCAAGCTCATTTG